CGAGTTAACAGCGAACGAACCGGTTTCGCTCTCTGGCGCACGCCGTAAAGTCGCATGCGATAAGTGAGCGAGAGGACGGTATTTAAAAGGCAGCACCAACAGCTGTTTTTTGTTTATTTCAATAAATTCTGTAGCATTGTCTGATAAGCACGTGGATTTTTTCCAATTCGAGTGAACTTATAAAGCGGCCACAGGTAGCGCATTTAACAGCGAATGTTAAAAGCCCCGATAACAGCTCTGTCAACAGAGAATCTTTTTTCGACTTTATCGCAGATATATGAAATTTGCAAATGCAGTTTTTTATGCCACTACCTAGTACGCCACGTGGAGTTTCTGCCGCCATTTAATATTCAAATATGAAACATTCTGTGCACAGTGTTGCGAACCAGCGGCAGCCAGTAATTAAGAAGCATCCAATTAGCTAAATAAATCCAGTTCGCAACGCCCTGTTGACCAAACGAAATCGCACGCGGAATCGCTGAAATCATCCACACAATCAATTAAAAATTTAAAAACCCGCAAATTAATATATAGGCGCCACACACGCTTAGAAAGTATTAGAAACTCGGGGGTTGCAACATGCCCGTACATACACATATCTGGGGAAAAGTATCTGCCAACTCCCCATATTTGCTAAATCAGCAAATGTGTCGCCCAAGGAGGGTGGGCAAAAAAGTGCACGGGAATTCTGCTTGATGTAGAATGAAACGCATTAATTTGGCTCGTTATGATTATTGCCACGCCATGCCACGCCCCCTCACGACGCCCCCTTGCTCCGCTGAAGGAGACGAAGGTACAGAGGAAAAAATAGTTCAGATAGTAAGAGAATAAAGTAATAAATCAGTTTTTAAAGGAGTTTGTTCTCAAAATGATAGGCACATGTGCGGTGTGAGTGATTAAAAATAACAAAATCAGTAAGACTATAACCTGAATTTAAATAAATTAAATTAAGATATCATAGAAACACCAGCTAACTTTTAGGTGTACGTCTGAAGTAAACCATATGGAAATGCCCTGAGTAATATGTTTGTCTGACTCTGACTCTGCACAGACCAAACTGTGACCCTCATTCATCGCCGCTGCCCCTCGCACTCCCCTTTTGGTGGGGGGGAGGGGGCGCAAGGGAGAGGGGCGGGGGAACCACCGCCAAAGGCGCACGTTAAGCGAATCGTGCACACGCCCCATGACGATGATTAATTACCTTTTTGGCTGCTCGGTTCGGCGTTGTCTCGAATGTATCTTTGTATCTTGTATCTTGTGCACATTTCACTTATGCACGCCTCACGCTCCGAAGACGGCGGCTTTCGGGGGCTGGTCCCCTCGAGGGGGAGGAGCCTCGCTTTTGGGGGTTCGTTTTTCGCTGATGAAGTTGTATTATTTATCGCAAAATGATTTTTCGCACTTTCTGCATGTCTTCGGCTGTCTCTCCTGCGTCTTCTTTTCTCAGAAAGGTGTGGAAAATCGAACGAGGAAGCAGAGAATAGGAAAAGATATAGCCAGGGAAACGGATGCCAAATGTGATATAACTTATTTAAAAATAGCGATTAATTATATTTTATACTTATTTTTATTAATAACTAAGCACATGCAAGTACTTCTGTTCCCTATTATTTCAACCCACCAGAACCTTTAAAAATTTACGAACCATGCCAACCACAAATAAATTCTAATCGCATGGCCTTCGTAGATCCACTTTAGATCTACCTAAACAAGCATAGCTTCATGGAATAATGTTGGCTATAAATATACGATACAATTCGACTGGGCCAGCTCATAACTCTAGATTGCATTATCTTAGGATCTCAAGATGTAGGAGACACATGTGTTGCTCCCTTTACACTCGGCACTCCCGCGATTCCCTTCGAAATAAAGTGAGGACATATCGAGTTGCCCTATTGGAGGACTGCAAATCGATTGAGGAACCCAGGAGGAGTTGCTGGGTATGGGGTTTTTTTTTTTTTTGAGTGTTTCACAGAAATTTGAGACCGCGCAAAGTCAATGAACCAAAACAAACGAAAACAAAAGGGGCCACCACCGCGATGGAAATGAAAACAAATACAATGGGAAAAAGGCAACAAAAACATACAAAATGCACAACAATTTGACATCTGTTTCAACAATTTCGTTTGCGAAAAAGGAGTAAAACAGCAAGGACGAAAGGATGTCACGTAGATTGACTTGTACAGCAGACAAAAGGAGCCCGAAACTTCAATTCAGACTTGAAATCCACTCGAAAAGTCCTTCATCTTCTAAAAAAGTAAAACGAAATTCCTCCGAGTTCGTGTGACAAATGTCAAGGGTTAATGAGATACCCTTTTTCCGTACTCTTCAGAAATGGAGTTGTGTTAATTATCATCGACGAACAGGAGTTTAAACGCTTCATTAGACAAAACAGTGCAGCCAGCAGACGAAGAACAAAACGGGAATGGAATAAGTATCTACAGATACGAGGGTGAAAGCGATACCAAAAGGGGAAATGCGTTTAAACATATTTAGTGAAAAATTTGTGGACAACGAAAATATCAAATTACCAAAACCAGGAGTTGCCTGCTAGTCTTAACGGGAATGGATTTTTTAGAGCAGATAGAGGGTCGGCTAAAAGGGAGAAATGGGCATTCAATTAGTCACAGTTTACATGGGTGCGAGATTGTAGATAAAGTCGGGAGATATATTGTGGATATACATTTGTATCTGAACTGACGTTGTTTGCTTATAAGATACATCATGCATATAGTACAATATCATAGAGACTATAAGAGTTGAAGAGCATGTATCCCTGGCGTATTCCCAGAAATCCGTGGCTTAATGAACTAAGTTGTGAACTCTTTCAATATGTTTAATTGTGGCATTTCTGAAGAAAACGATAAGATCATTAATATGCATTGTGTTTTGAAAAATGATTTTTCTGCATGCCGTATGGCAAAGTGATATTTTAGCCGCTAATTGTCAAAGTCCACCAAACTTTGGCCCTTAATATGCAGTTCCTATAATTATGGAACATATTCATTTATTTTAATTAGCTTAACCCCAAGGCGAAGAAAGCGCAGAGCAGAATGAGCAAAATAAGTTCAAGGTTTGCCTTCTGGCAAGTGAAATGATTGATGGATTGGAACTCCATTGTCTCCACATGAGTCACTAAAAACCGAGAAGCTTATAGAGTGTATCACTTGCTGCAGAGTGAGTCACTTAGAATAAGGAAATATAATCGAAATTGGAATCGGGATCGTAAAAATGCAATTGACATGGAGAAAGGGCGGAAAACAGCTGGGAAATTCGGGGCTGGAAGGTCGTGCTCAGTCGTCTTCAACTTTAATTGCTTGGAAAACAACAGTCGAAAAGGAAAACCGCTAGAGTAGCGCCCATAAACCATAAAAATGCATAATCTACGACCACTTGACACGCATTAAACAAAAACAAAGCAGCACAGTGGCCGCGGCATCTCTACTTTTATGTTTTACGAACCTTTTCAACATTTTATAAAATATTTTTTAGACGAAAGAGATGGGTGATCGCACTGCATAGTGGATCAATGGTTCTGCAGATAAGGAGTAAATAAAGTTCCCTACGTAAAATTAAACCGAAACCGAAGCTTATACAGTGCTTTTTATGAATTCATATAGGGCTTCCGTCACACGACGACTAACTCAGATCGTAAAAAATGCACAACAAAAGAAACTTTTTCGTTCCGGCAAAAGAAACAGCAACAAAAAATAGGAAGCAATGAAAAAATTGAAAGGGGTTTCATTGTCAAAATCACGTGCGTGCTGGAAAACTATTTTTTCCCAACTGGACTTGTAAATTTATTCGTCATATACAGCCGTGGTTCTTGTTATGAAGCTTTTCATGGGCTGCCCTACGATTTTCCAGGGGAAATTACAACTTTGTCATCAAATTCGGACTGCGCACATAACAACTAGCGTAATAAAAGAACAATAAAATTGGCGGAAATATTCGCCAAAGTAATGAGTAATGAAATACGTAATTATATTCGGAAGGCTGTTTACATCAGTAATTCGGCAATAACTAAAGGAGGTATAAATAGTAGAGTATAATAATATTCAATAGCTCAAAGTTACTGACCAGGCTGTATTTTTTTCAATTTACTCCTGGCGACACGTGAAATTATTGCATAAAATTGTTGTCAGTCAGATTTTTTGCGCCTGTGCCAAAAATAATTAAAAGACCATAAAAAGGGGTCACATTCAGCAGTTTGTCCATCCAAATAACGTCCATCAGTCAGAATAATTGGGGGTGTGCGCCATGTATGATTCATGATTAAAGGATGTGCATTAAATATTCATATAAATGTCAATTTAAAGCTATCTCTTTCGGCACAGTGTCACCCTCTCTTTCTCATTGACTGGTTATAGACCAGTTGAGTGCCACTGTTGGCGGCTTTTTGTTGTCTCGGCTTTGGTCCGCATTATTGTTGATATCGCCCATGAATCCCCAATTGAAAGGCTTCCCTTACTCTCCCTTTTGAACTTTGCCGCCCTTAGAAGCAAAGGGGTGAGTAAAAACTGGGTGTTTTGGGGGTATAAATAACAATAGATTTATTGCGAACAGCACATGAAATGCATTCAAATACAATGAAAAGAGCTTTGTTTGCTTTTCGGCTGTCTACTCTCTCACTAAAGCTGAATTGTGCAACTTTAATTTATCAATAACAATATTTGGAAAAAGGATAATTATAGTTGTAAATAACGAAGCTTGAAAAAATCATTTTTGACTAAAGTTATGCCCAGTTTCGATATGGTTCCATTGAAATGGTGAAATCCCTTAAAATAATCGATAAAAATATCAAAGTAACTCTAATGGAGCAAAACGAAAAACTTAGCAACACTTTTGCGAAAGAAAAACAACTGCTGGACAACTCTAAATGGGGTCAACCTTTCGTTTGTCAGTCCAAATATTTTTCCGGCTTGCTCGTTTGCCCAACAATTTCATCGAGCCCTGAAAAAGTCATCGAAATTTGTAAATACGGAGAGATAGGAGAGATAATGCCGAGGAGCCGAAGCAATCTGCGCCAGCCACCGATAGTGAATGAAAGTGCTGAGGAATCGGCTGATGAGTTTGAGGAAAGCGCAGCAACAAGTTGGAAAAATGAATGCAAACAGCTGGAGGCGAGGTCGCCACCGGAAAGCCCCGAGTATCTGCACTTCATGGACTCCGACGATCCGCTGGATGAAATCGAATCGAATCCCTTGCAGGAGCAGGAGCCCCTCGATCTGGCAATTAAAACGGATAGCACCATCAACAAGGAGGCAAAGGAGAACCATATGAGGATTTACAGGCAGTTGGGCATTCATATACCAGAATCCCCAGCCAAGCATCCCCTACTCGATTACAGTTTCGTCGTGAAACTGTTCCTGGTCACCGACTGCAGCTCCATTCACTTCCTCAAGTGGTCGGCCAGTGGCCGCGAGCTGGAGGTCGATTATCAGGGCATGCAGGAGCATTTGTCCAGCGGTTGTTCCGTATTTCATAGCCGAAATACCTTGCAATTTACGGGCAGCCTATTGGCCCACGGATTCGAGCGCGTTTGGTCGAAGGATGTGCGCAAATCTTCAGTGCGTCCGACGTCCATCTCGCTGATCTTCCGGAATCCCAATTTCGTTAGGGGTCAGCTGCAGAAGTTGCAGAAACTGGTCCAGGAATTTGGGAAAGTGGACGAGATTTCAAGTGCCGAAACGGAGGAACCGCGCCACCCGAACAACGCCCATATTGCCAGAATGGTCCGGCGAGGAGATCTCTGCTCCACTTCCTACACCTGTCGTTCTGCACTGCAAGTGGCTCGATGTCACTTCCAAACCCTGCTGGGATACCAAGCCGACATGGGTGTCCTTAAGGATCGCAACAGTCACGATGTGTTCAACAAGCACATAATGACGCAACTGAATGTGAAAAGGGGTCGCTCGTCTATCAATAATGCGCCAGTCGATTTGGCGCCCAGCAAAGTTTCGTTTGCGAAATTCGTAAAGCCCCACGAATCGGTGATCAATATCGGCATTGGTCAGGCGCCGGATTATGCTGGTTATTATGGCAAGGTGGAGCTATCCAAAGTCAACGACTTCTTCTCCGAGTATCTGCCGCGCTATGGCAGCAAAATCACCGGCTACAAGGATATAGTCATGGATGCCACCAACAAGTCCATTGGCTTCCAGCAGAACCTGCCCATCGGCATGAATTACTCGGATGATGAAGACGATGTCCTTCCACCGATTTCATCGGACCACGACTTGGATTTCATGCCATCCACCTCGGCGGCGGCCAAGCCGAAATCTTCTGGTGGCAAGGTAGTGGAGGACTCGGACTTGGAGCAGGCTATGCAGGAATTGTGCGGTGGCCCTAATCTCAACGAGGAGGATGAACTGCCGCAGACCAGCAGCAGGAGCACCGCCAGACTTAAAGCCAAGCCCAAGCCCAAGCCAAGAGCCAAAGCCAAAGCCACGAAACGCCAGTCCAAGCCTCTGCATTCCAGTTCCAGCGAAGGCGAGGATTACGAGGTGGACGAGGAAGAGTTTACGTCTAGAAAACCAAAGAACGTTAAATTCAACACAAGGGACCATGATACCTCCTATAGTGCTGAAGTGGATACGGATTCCGAGGAGCAAGTGTTCGAGGAAACGACCGACACCAAGCTGAAGGATACGCCATCCGATGAAGAGCACGACGACAACGACAACGAAAACCACAACGACGACGACAACGACAACGAAGACGACAACGACAACGACGACGACAACGACGACGACAACGACAACGACGACGATGACGGCGACGAGGATGAGGGAGGGGAAGAGGAAGAGGAGGACTTCCTGGACGAGGATGACGAGGATTATATTGACAAAAATATACAGTACAGGAGTGCTCCAGAGCCGCCAAAGAGCCGACGCTATGATCTTCGCAACGCCAAGCGGAATCCCCGTTGAATTTTATGGTACATCTAAGGAAACTAGGAGCATTAATTAGTCAAATCAATAGAAACCTCAATCTAATCAAATACTGCCTGACTGAGTGGATGGTTCAAAAGCATCTCTTTGCGGCACACAATTAAACGTTGTTTAGTAACTTGGAAGAGGACTTTAGTTGTGGGGCAGGGGAGAGTAAATGCATTATTTTTAACATATTTCCCAGGAATATTTCATTTAAGCCCAAGCATATAAGTAAAGCTAAAGTGGCCAACATAACTGCTCATCTCCTGACCAATGACCTCAGCCATATCTTTTGTTTATTCAATTTCAGGCCCATTCTCTTAACCATCTTCCATTTGGCATATCTAAAACTTCCATTATAGCTTTTGTTGCTCGTTTTGGAAGGCAATAAGTTTGGACATATGGGCAATTAAATCGCTTATCGCCCTTTGATCTCTCACGCCCTCAGTGCCCATTGCCGAGGCCAATCAAAAGTGTAATATCATCTGGAAATATCTTACCAATTCGAACTGAGGGCCAGCACCCACACGAACTCACAAAAAACAAAAAACAGAAAACGTAACCAGAAAATAAAGGAAAAAGCCAGACCAGGGGCACAATCAGTCGGATGTTTACAAGTTTTATGAGCCACCAAATAACAAGATGAACAACAGGCAACCGAAAACGAAAACGAAACCAGAACCAGAACCAAAGCGAAACTTAAGCGATACTTGAGATACTTGATTTTGAAGGGATTTCGGATTCGGGTACCTCGCACCGCATTTGCAAGAGGCGCAAAAAATAAGCGCTTTTTTGTACAACTCAGCGTGAGCCGAGACACGATTTTTATCGTCTTTAATTTGCTTTTTATTTGATATCATATTTCAAGACAGCCGGACGGCAAATCGGTTTGGGCTCACTCGCAGAACTCTCAAGCGACGAAGACAAAAGCCGGTGGTATCCTCTTATTTGCCTGCTCCTCCGAAAATTCCCAAAACAGATTTTTCGGTTGGCAAACGAGGAAACCTTGACTCAGGACGTCATAATGTCATAAAAATGTCACATACTTTTAATAACTTTATGACAGCTACAAAATCATAAACAAAATGCCCTGACAGCAGCACACGAACTGGGAGAAGGCGAGGGATTTGTATTCTGCGGCTGAGTTCTTTTGGGAGTCCTCATAATGAGATGTGTCATGTTTTGCCTTCTCAGAAATGTTTCTGCCTCTCCATTTCGGAGTTGACCAGGCCCCCACCCTCCCAAGAGTCACAATTATAAACATGACAGGCTGATTATTAAACTTGATGTTTAAATGATGATCTACTCGATATTAGCAGGGGTATGTAGCGTGTGCCTTGAAAATGCATCCATTAGGTTGCTTCGCGGGCGATGAATTATCGCCTTGAACTTGTAAACTTAACATTGAAAGCCGAAGAAAACATAGGTCTGGAAAATGTTGTACGTACTCCTTGTGTTTTGGGCTACAGGGTGGGGACTTGGATATAGATTTGCCAACCCAAAAATTTGCTCGACTCTTTTCTTCTCACGCACCAATTTAGTACAACCCAACACACACCTTTTCGGTCCAAAGGCCACAACTTCAGCTTTAGTTTCAACACATAAATTGGCTTTGCGACAAAGCGCGCCAGTATTAAATTATGGAACCAGGAATAAAGTCGGGACTTTGGCTGCATCACAATGAAGTCGGAGCGAAAGGCCCTCAGAATGCAGAGTTATTAAATGCCAAGTTATTTGTCGTTTAGCTGGAAATCCACGCAGGTCGGCAGTACTTTAACTTCTGAGACTCACAAACTTTTTTTTTTTGTTTTTGAGACTGCTTTATGGGTTTGAGTAGGAAATCTTTACGAGTTTGTGCTGGGGAGACAAATTTATTGGCAAGGCATTAATGTTTTCTTTACTGTTCGTATTTCTCTCGTCTCTCTCGTATTTTTCCCATTTTTTGTCTGACTTTAATACGGAGTCGTAAAGATTTTTAATGGTTCAAAGCGGTGGTAAAACTATTTACATATGTATCTCTATGCTTTATGGGGCCAGCACGAATGCATCCCCTCTATAAGGTTTGGCAATTTGTCTTCTGGTGGGAAAACGCCAAAGGAAATGAGGTGTTGACTGTAGTTACGGATCCAATAAAGCGGAATCATTTAGGAGTTACTACAAGTATATCTTAAAGCTTTCCAATACTATCCCCACTGATTGGCCATTATTTTTATTACATCAAAAGCGTTTTAGCATTTACTAATTTAAAAGTACCTTCAAATGGGATTCAAATTCATAACTTCTATTTCAGTGAATGCTAGCTTGCAAACCTTAACTCTCAATTACCAACAAATCGAAACTCAATTTACCAGTTCCCCTGGGTAAATAATTTGTTGTACATTTGTTAAAACTTTTCGCTTATCTGCATGCCTCTTCCAAATCCAACTTTCTAAATAAGCTACACACGGACTGTAGAGAACTAGCCACCAATTGCAGTGAAACTTGCTCCTGTGAGTTTGGCGTGTCCTTGGGCTTTCTTCCCATTTTTGCGAGCAGGTAGAGAGTTATTTTATGATTGCACAAATGCAAAACGCAAAATGCAAAATGCATAACAATCAAAATTGCACCAAATACTCGCCAGCAAATCGGGATTTATATGTATGAGATATGGCCTCGTTCCATCTGCTTGGCAAACTTTTCACCAAAAGGTACAAGGATCCAAATAGCTTGCCTTCAAGTGTTGTAACCCAGTTTCGAATTGCTTTTTTATTTGCCAATGGCTACGGTTAAGGATGTGGTTATGGATATGGATGTGCTCCACGGGGATGGGCAGAGCGTTTCCCAAGTAGTTTATGCAGCATTTGCTTAAATCTAGCCACAAAGTTGCTGAACAACTTTTGATCGATGTGCTGCTGGGTTGCAAATTTGTGTGCACTTTGCTTGAATTAGTCAAAAGTGGACGCCTAAATTGTTATTGAAAAGGCACCTGAAAGTTCAGTTTCGCTGCAAAGATAACATCATTGGTTTGAGTACTTCAAAGCAGTTACAAATATACTATTGATCAGCAATCAGTAATCTTCCTCAGGATATGGCATGCAGTGACAGGCTCCTTGAGTATTGGAACCCAGCCAGCGGAGATACTGATTGACCCTGGTGTAAACTCCAGGCGACTGAGGTCTGCCACATCCGGCGCCCCAGGAAACGATGCCCGCCAGCTGATATTGACCCGGCTGCTCGTCGAAGGTGGTCTGGAGAGGTCCTCCACTGTCGCCACTGCAGGCATCCTTGCCGCCCTGCGCTAAATACCCCGCACACATCATATTATCCGTAATTTGGCCGGGTCCATAGGTTGTGGCATTCCGGCACTGCGATTGGGGCAACACCGCCACCTCCACTTCCTGAGCTTCATAATGTTATAGTCACCACTTCCAGCTGTCATCTCTTTTCTTACCCTTAAAGTGTCGGAGCCGAATCCCCCTTCCCTCTGAGCTCCCCAGCCGGCAACGATGGCCAGTTCGTGGTCAAAATTGTACGATTGCACGGGCAGGCAAATGGGTCTCAGGCGATGATGCCCCATATCAACTGGTTGGTTAAGGCGCAGAATTGCTATATCGTTGTCAAAGCTGCGCGGATTGAACAGCTCGTGTACCTTCAACCGGGAGACATGTCTCTGGATCACGATATCATCGTTGGAATTACTACGATTGTACTCGAGGAATCGCAAAGTAATTAGTTCTGGGGGAACACCTTCCACACAATGTGCTGCTGTTAGCACGTAGAGATCATTGATCAGGGATCCGGAGCAGTAGAAGCGATCGTAGATCAGCATCGTAGCCATCCAGGGATATTGGTGAACTCGGGTCTCCTGACCGCCAACGATTTTATACAGGGTATTCATCAAGCCACAGCGACAAAGCGCACAATCCCTTTCAATGGGAAAATTGGTGCTGGATGTCGTACTGCTGCTCGTTGTTCTCGTGGTTGTTGTGGAAGTTGTTGCAGCTATTGTAGTGGAAGTTGTTGTCGTTGTTGGAGGTAGCAATATGGAGCCTAGCCACTCGAAAATACCTCCTTGATTTGAAAGAATTCTCCGTTCGGTTGAACCACTGCACAAGCCGCAAAATAAGCCGATCAAAATCCACAGAAGCGTCATCTTTCTTGGCCTTTTCACTACTAAACTGGATACTGCGGTGGATCATTTATTTAAAGCAGAAAATCTGGCTGCTAATCACGTTTCATTCTATCAGCCAACTGGCATCATGTGGCTGGCTGGGTAACTTTTCATTTTGGCAACACATTTTCCAGGCTGTCGCACAAATGAATTCATGAAATGTTTGCCAGCGAAGTGTAAATGCCTCGCAGGTTAACTAACAATCAGGGTTTGAACTGACAGGAAAAGGGGCCATATTTGTCAGGGGTTTTGAGGGAAACAGCCAGAGTGTTGCGCTTTTCATTAATGCTAAATTAAACGGCTTTAATGGGGTCGGGATTTGAATTAAACATGTGTAATTTGAATTCCAGCGCAAGCCAAAAGCTGTGGAATTTCGTTATGAAACAATGTCAGCAAAGTAATTAGTTTTTGTTAAATCAATTTATGTCCAACTAAAATGTTATTATTTTTTAATGTTTTTCCACTTGCTGTTTGTATCCTATTCCAAACAGGCTTTGTGTAAGTTTAATCCCCATGGAATTTTGTTAATGACAACCTAAATAAGTTTCCCAAAAACTTTTCCAACTATTTAGCTAACATTATGCAAATCAGCCGCCCAATAGGCGAACCAATCAAGACCTGACACTCCACATATTGTTGGTACGGCCCGCCAGCTTTCATTTTCCAGCGATTTTCCTCCGATTTTCCCGCCACTTGTCATTTGCGTCTGAGTAAGCTGGCACAATAATCTGTAATAGGCTTAGGCATGAAATATTGACGCTTAGTGACCGCTTAGTGGATGCCAAATGACTAAGTAGTAACATCATCTCGGCGGCATAACTCCAGACCCCAACTCTAAGTGTAATTAGAAGAGCTGTGGAAATTAGTGAAAGCATTTTCATAACAATTTTCCCGCATGTGTGTGAGGAGGAGGGTGCTTATGTATTTGTGGAAAACTAAGCCGCTTATGCGACTGTGAGCACAGCTTTTCGACTTCAACTAATTGAATTTGGGGTATAGGAATATCCATTGGGGCGTATCTGTAACCCCAGCACACGACTTCAATTCCGATGGGCACGCCCACATGGGGCAGTAGGTTTTTCATGCTTCAACGCCCAAATGGTAGCATTTCCCCCAGTTACATTTTATAGACTCCGAACTTAGTTTAGAGGGGCAGCAGAGCATTTCCAGGGGCAGCACCTCAGTAAATTGTCCAATTATAAAACTGCGTAGGCCAGGTAGCCAGTTGGGAAACCAGAAGACCACAAGACCAGGAGCCAAATCAACTCGACGGGGAAACTGGAGACGCATCCACATGTTGCTGTCACTTTTGATAGTCGCTCCTCTCGCTTAATTGATATTTATGGAAATGGGTTTCTGGCGGAAAGTGGAGCACATGTGGGGAGATTTACAAGCCACAACATTGAACTTCATTTTGAAGTTGGGACAGCTCATTAGAGAGTGGGAGACACTCGACAGCACTCCAAGTCGGAAAAACAATGCTAAAAAGACGGAAAAGTAATCCAGTGACCCACAACTGCAACTGTGGCAACTGTGGCAACTGTGGCAACTGTGGCAACTGCAGGCAGCGGGTGGAAAAAGCGGAAAATCAGCAGGGGAGCCGCTCTTGCCAAAGAAATATATGGCTTAATTGTGGCAAAGTAATAAACATGTCCAGTCCGAGTATAAAGTTTTGGTTGCCAAGAAGTTTTGACCGTTGTTTGTGCCTGCAAGCCGCAAAAGAAAACCAATTAAAATGGCAAAGAAACAGAAGTCAGAAATTAGACGAAAAATAAATTACTGACCGAAGTTTCAAGGGGGAAAATAGAAAACCGACCGGGAACTTTAATAAAGAGGATAACTTATTGTTGGCAAGCAAACTTAGATCTGCACAATGTATGGACAATATGGCAAATGGACATGCAAAAAAACGCTAAATGAGCCGCACTTAATTGCCCAATTCGAAACCCTCTCACAATCCAAATATTCAATTTCAAAATACTCCGTTGGCTGCAGGGAATTTGGGCTTATCCGAGTGAGAACCGAATGTTTTGCATTGCGTAGGCTGATCGGCGTGAACATGATTTAAGCCAAAGACCGGCAAATATTTATGCACACTCACAATATCTTGACTTGTGGCAACTACTTGGTTGTCGAACATGAGCTCTTGGCCGCTATCGCGACAGGATCGGGCTTTAAAATACGTCTTACAAAACAGCAGGCAAAGCAGCCAATACATTCCAGCGACTTTTAATTAAAAGCAACATTTTCACAGGCCGCAGAACAAGCTTATTAACAGTTACCCGATCCAAACTAAAAAATCAAAGGGGGAAAACGTAAAATAAGAGGGAAAACAACGTCTGTCAATTGATAAACAAGTCAACTGTCACTTAGGCCCAGCATTGATAGCGACTCTGCGAAGCGGCCAACGTTAATCAGGCAAAGTGTCCGGCTCCGGACCCCCCATCCCCATCCCCATCTCCAACCCCTCCCCTTTCCATTCCAATTGGAATCCAAAGAGTCCTGCTCGAGGACCGGATCCAAAGACCCCCAACTCCTTTCGCAAAAACTCCACTTGTTGCTGCCGGCTGATGGCGATAAGCAGCGACACATGTCACAAGATTTTTCTGCCTTTCTGCCCGGTCTTTTCGCCTTTTCGCCATTTTGCCTGTTCATTTTCATTTTGCTTATTTTTTATTTTAATCAAAAGTGGAAATTAAACGCGGCTAATGAAGATTTTAATTGCGTGCAACGGCGAAATGAAGTTGCATGTGGGTTTTGTGGTCGTCTGGCCAGCATTACCACGGTACCTATAAAACTCTGTACATATATACACACGCACATAGCGAGGGCATGTGGCACATAAACTTGCAACTTAGGATTTACATGATCAGCGTTTGTTGCAACACGCAATCAATGTGCGAACGAGAGAACTCCTAATCAACTTCAGAGCTAAGCCGCTTATGACAGATCGTAAAGCACAGTGGGCTGAAAAGCAGAAACGGGTGGGAAAAGGGGTGGTACAGTGGGCATTATGTTGCCCAAGCCATGCGTAAAGTGAGAAGAAGGCGTTAATTGCAAGACACAGATAGAGTCAGCAACATAAATAGGAAAACGTGTAACATTTTAACAATATTTTATAGGTTTTCTAAATGGTTAATATCCTACGTACTTGATCAGTATGTTTTATGGCTATTACACGATTGACTTCTACATTCCGCCCATTAAACCCTATGCATTCCATTGTTAAACAATGCTATCAACCAGCTAAAGAGCAATTGATTGTTCAAAAAACATACCCATCGAAATCCTTTGTCGTGCACCCAATTTACATAGAGCAGTTTTCGCCCAGCCCCCAACAATTTCCGCCCCAGCCGGAAAAACGAAGGGAAAATGTGAAAAATGTCACGCTTCATTTGCCTTAACCGTTCAAACGGACACCTGGCCACAGGTAACCATCAAAGGAGAAAGAAGGACAGAGCCCCACAGCAGATGAAAGGTATCAGTTTGGTATGGGGCAGGGTATGGGATAGTATGGAAAAAGGCAACACGGCACACAAATTCCATGAGAGACGTGAAAACAAATCGAATCGGACAGATCGATTAGGCATACAAATGTGCAATTAGAAGTGGAAAGTTCACTGTTTCCACTCGAGATGGATATGTGTGCCTCGAAATACACACTTATATATATTTATAAATGGGTATATACAGCGGGCATGTACATAGGTAGCTGCCCTTTGCCCAATTAGGCGTTACGAATGGTTAGATGGATGTCAGGAATCGGAACAGGAAGCGGAAACAAACAAACGACTAACGAGGCATGTGAAAGAGATGACAGCCAGGCTATCGCCATCTCGCCTCCCCCTTCCCACGCACACCGGACTCAATTAATTGAATTAAATTTTGTGAGTAATTTTTTGTAATTTACGCGCCATTCGGTTAACCAATGTCTGACGCTGGCCACAAATTTCAATAATTACCGACAGTTACAGTTTTTAATTATCGAGCAGAACGAGAAATTCGACAGTGTGAGGGCGTTTTATTGCCCAAAGCAGTTTGAACAGCATTTAATTATTATTTATGATTGTTTAGCGCCGTTTTACTGAAATTGATTTATGCGGTTTTCCCGTGACTGGTCAAGTTTATTAATTTGTTAAAGCCAGCAGCGATTTGACACAAAATTCCCCGCACCACCCACATGTGTGTCCATGTCATGCCGCCTGCCCATTACAATTACATATTAATTAATAACAATTTTCTTTTTGGGGCGGGCGTTGATGCATGTAAGCTATAATTAACAAATATTCGATTTTATTCGTGCAGTTGGTATTTTGGCAACTTATCAAGTGGAAAGTGGTGAGTAAAATACTATTGTAATTAAATCTAGTCGATTTCAGAACGAATTTATTACTTAGTCATTGGCTTAGTTTATACATTTTGTTGGTGAAGAAATGAAGTATTTTACCATATATAACTAATGAAACGCACAAGCCTCGATGCACATCCGGTTAAATTATTATACTCCTCTTAATGTGGGTTAATTTAACTGGCCAGCCCCGAATGCAAACATTTCCTGCTTTCGCCGGTGCTCTTCAGCTTTCGCCGTGCTCAAACCGACCCCCTCCCGGTCGCCTTAACCCACTGATGACAGTGCAAATAGCCAGACAGCAGAGCAAACCCAATGAGCAACGCCTGCGTGAAAAATGCAAATCAATTCAATTAAAAAAGAACAAGAGCAACGTGCAACGCGCGGCAACAACCAGCAGTGCAACAACAATAGCCGGGCCGCATTGCCGCCAGGTAAAGACACACGATCTGGATACTATATGCGCTCCTCCAACTGAAGGAAAACCCCCACCATTGTGCCTAAAAAAAGAAAAGAAAATAAAAGAAAAGAAAACGAAACGAAACAAAACACGCTCCATAAAGATCCCGAGCGGCAACAACAACAGAAACAGCGCAGGCAACTACAACACATGCCACAAAAGTGTTGCAGTTACAAGA